GAAACAGGCCCCTGAGGAGACATAACCTGTCCCTCCTGGCAGGGGCGGAGCTCTGCCTTTCTGCTTTGCCCTGTGATGGTCAGTGATCCATGATGGGTAAGTTATCTCATGCAGAGATAACAGCCTAAGACAGATATGGCCAGTATGGGCAGCAGACAAGAAACTGGGGACATGGAGAAAGGGCAAAAAGTCCTGCACCCCTCAGCTCGGCTTGGACACGGCCAGAGTCCTCATTCTATCCAAAGGAAGTCTCCTTGTCTTTTGGCGGCTCCCTCCCAGCACCTGGCTCAGGCTTGAAACAATACAGGAGACAGTCTTAAACCAGATCTGGTGGTTCCCAGGGAAACCAGGCCTAAAAGTAAATTCTTTAAAGTGTGCTTTGTTTTTCCCTCAGAAGCTCTAGCCAGCTTATGCTGGGAAGGACATTTACATTATTCACAGACCCTAACCCTATACCCTTAGGCACTCTTGTGTTTATTATACTCTCATGTCTCTCTTGTTACTTACTAGTCTCCTCTTGGACCCATGTAAATTGGTGTGTTCCTGCCATTTGTTTTCTTCAAAACATCACCCATTCCCTGTGAACATTAACATACTGATGTAATGAGATAACCTGTGCATTCCTGTTACCTGGCCCCACTGATAACCCTTTCAATAAAAGCCTTTGAACAAAGGGACGCTGGGCCTCACCCACTAGAGGAAAGAACCATGTCCCCTCTCCAGGCAAACAGAGAAGTGTTTGCGAAGACTCCTGTTTATTCCTCCATCCATGACACCCTGGGGACGCTCTGTGGGATTCAGGGTCCGTGGTCCCATCTCAGTTGGCCCTGGATGGGAACCCCCAGATGCCAGGAGCGCCATGCTCCCCCTGACGCGCTGTCCCCCTGCGGCAGTTGCTGCCCGGACCCTGGACCAGAGACGACCCGTGGAGGAGCTCCCCTCTCCTCGCCGCCACGTGACTAATAACTTTTAAGATTTATTCTCTGATCAACTTTCAAATATGCAATATAGTATTATTAAGAGACAAGAGCTTTTTATATGCTATCAACAAGTTAGGATTATATGAATTTTCAAACTTGATTCCAACTGGAATCATGCTTCTCATAGGGAGAACAAAATATATAGAATATTACAAAATATTAACATACAAAAAAGATGGGCTTTTCAAGTACGATAGCTTATTTTGATATTTTTCTTGCAACCTAATCTGCCGGTTAACTTCATATGTTTAATGTAGGTCACCACTAATTAAAAACAATGAGAAATGAGGTTTTCTCTTGTTTGTTTTTTGGGGTTTTCATTGTGTATAGAAACCATTGCAAAACAGCACTATAAAAATAGTAACAGCATAGAGAAAAATTATGCTAAATCTGCATTTCCTTGAAAATTGGCATTCAGTAAATGAGTAACATATAAGAAAGAGAATATGCTATTCTTGCACAGATGGATGAATTTATTCATTGTCTATTTAACTTTTTTTAACCCTAATGACTGCATGTTCTATGTGTGTTAAATGCTTGAAAATGGAGGTGATATTGTTGTTTTAGAACATTTAAAAGAAGTGAAAAGCTCAGTCAAAAAGTAAGCAGAATGGGACTGAGCTTGCAAAGCAGATGTTCCACCATTTGCTGAATTTCCAATAATAAATTTCACCTTTTGAGTTGAGACAAAAATAACATTGTTCTTCTTTACCAGTAACTTCTTACCAATTATGTAAATGAATAAAAATCTCTAACTTTAGGGATGCTCTACTGTCAGAAATTAAAGGTATGTAACTTCATTTAAAAATATTCATTGCCACCTCTACTGATAACTCTATTTTCTGGTCCACTAGGACTGTTCTTTACTTAATACTTAAGTGGATTTGAAAGTGTTCTTCTTGGAAAAATTGGAACAATATATATTTAACAGACAGTGTGTTCTAGACAATAATTTATGAAGCACCTTTCTCTGTGAGAATTCTTCTTTGTATTTTATGCTGTGTTGCTTTTTAATATCAAGAATTCCTTGACCCAAACAGGGGTCTTTCTTCTGATAAGATAAAAAAGATGTCAAGCTCAATGGAGTTTTTATATAAAACTTATGGAATATAAATGGACTTTTTTTCCATTTTTCTGGTGAAGAAATTGGGTCATAAAAAAAAACAAGGGCAAATAGATAATTGATGAGATTGGAAACTTGCCTTTTGATATTTTGTCTATTATTGTAATAATATATTTTTAATATTCTTTACCAACCTCAATAACCAAATTTTGTTGTATGATTTGTTATTGGTTTCCAAGCCCAGTGTTAAGAGGCATGTGCTTTGCATTGTTTTTAAAAATTATTACACTTACCATACTTTTTCCAAAAATGGTATCAGGTTATGCATGTTATCTTGTGAATTACTCCTGGCTTATCAAAAATAGCATCATATTTGAAACTACAGGTAGGGTGGAAACAACTTTCTCCCTGAAAGAAACTAAATAAACTATAGGACAATCTTAATCCCAATTATCTATACGCTCTACTGAGCAACTCAGTCCAAACTAATTAAACTTAAACTTTGGAACATGATTCATTTGATTATATAATGAAATGTGAGCAATTGAGGGTGTGTGTGTGTGCGCTGATCCATGTACACATAATAGAGCTACTTCAATAAGGTACTAATCCTAAATAGAATCATAGACACAAAATTGGAAAGAATCTTAGAAATGATCCAACAAAACTCTTCACTGATCTCTTGTCAATAGCCCGTACAGGTGATTCCTAACCTCCACTAGTTCTGCTAACACAATTTCATTTCTTTGAGTCCTGGAGAGGTTTCCTTGTTAGGAGGTTATTACCCTGAGCAAAAACTTTACCTCTGTAACGTTCATCTTAGTGTTAAGATTCTTTAAACAACAATTTAACCAGCCTTAACCAACCAAAACATCAGGGTCCTGGAAGTCCCTGTTTTAATGGGGAATGTTTTGTCTACAATATTTTCCTAAATTCTTTGGTTTCAGTAATAAATAGTGTAATAGGATGGGGGTAGATTGAAAGGACCAGGACCTAATACTGACATAACTGGGAGATGGACTCACTATAAATGAGAGGCTGTAGGGTGTTTTGTCTAGTCGAGCAGGCAGGACATAGAATCTGAGCAGAATAAACAACAAATAACACAAAGAAGTCCAGACAGGAAGTCAGAGCAGAAGTGCCTGTGATGTTCTTGGAACCTCATAGTTTTATCTCAAGGTACATATCAGACTAGCATCAGACATCGATCGTGGTGATATTTATGACTATATTGGCGAAGGTTATATCCCAATTCTGAAAGCTCACATTATTTTTACAAATATAGATTTCCTCATGGCAGGATGTGTGTTCTTTGAAATGATAAGGAGTCTAAAAATTTTCTGTAATAATCTGAGCCCTGTCCATTAGTTATCCTTGACTTCACGGTCTCATAAAAATCAAACACATTGACAAGCTGTGAATCAGGTGGGGCAAATTAGCTCTATTAATAAAGGGAGTTTCCTTATAGCCCTGATGACTAGTGTTCCCTGTCAAAGATGCTGTTGCCTTAATTTTTTCCAAAGGTTGAAAATTATTTTAGTAAGCAAGAAACTGAACACAGTAAGAAAGCGATTAGCACTTTAATTTGAAAGAAAGGTTGGGATGGTGGAACACTGGAAAGAATGAATGAAGAAACCTGAGTCCCTGTCCAGCCTCTGTTTCTACTAGCCCTTGGCATCACCTTGGTAATGCAGAGTATTAGAATCCAGGGAATGCAGGAAACTTAAAGGGGCATCTGGTTTAACATTGGTCAATTTAGGTTTTTTTCCCTGAACTCTAAAGCTTCTTTAATTAAAGAAGCCAGTACCTACAGGATCATAGCAATAGCATTGTATAATCAGTATAAATACCTCTCTCTCGAGATACAGTAATGAAGTAACTACTTTTGTGGGGAGACCAGACACTTTCTTGCCTTCACTTTTTTTTTCATGATCAGGCTTTAAAAAATACACAGAGGGAATGTGAACAATAACATTTAAGCGGGAAGTCATTCAGGTAGTAAGTTGATCAGCTGTCTGAAATGAATGCAAAGACTGGGAAAAAGAAGAGACAGGGTCTTAGGCTATTTATATACTTTTAGATCAATATCGATTTTTGTCTTCTATTGACTACACTGACTGGAAACACATGTAATACCTGTTACTAGACCAAAAATAAAGTTGAAAGAAGGTGGCGGTTTGGAGCAATGTGTCTTTATGTTGGCACCTCTTACAGGTCATAAAATAATGGGTGGGTGGAGACTTGGGAAGGGTGGTGCGCATAGATATAGCGATCAACCTAGAATTTTCTATGATTTTTGGCAATTTCTGGGCATTGGGAGCTGGAAGACTATTCCTATGCAAAGATTAACTTGATAAATGAAAAATCTATCTTGTATAATAATTTTAAGCCAAAAGCCATAGTAATGAAAATATGGAAATGCAAAAACTTATTTTTGTATTAGGTAGCAAATATTGACCCCATATTATGTGCAATGGCACTGTGACAAAGCACATTCAGTTTTGGAAACATATTAGGATTTGGAAATGAAAAAATTCTTAAATTTCCTCCAAAATAGAAAGATTCTTCTCAGGTTGTCAACACTGTCCTGAAAAACAACTACATGCATGGCTTTAAGAAAAATAAATGAAATTCACAGGTATTGGGGAAATAAAATGGTTGTCAATTATTACAACCTCTATATTTTTAAAATTGGTGATTGTAAGACTGACCTTTCAATAGAGTATCATGAGAAAAATAAATAACATTCTATTTCATTTTTAATAGGATGACAGAATAGAAAGGACTGATGTAAAACTGAAAAAGCTAAATGTATTAATTTATTTTAATTCATTTAGTATCAACTGATTCAAGGACTATAAACTGTTACTTTGAATACTAAACTGCAAAAAGGTTTTCTTTTTTTGGTGGAAATAAAAGCAGTAAATCGAGCTGAATTCAATTAGTCACAATCTTACCTGAAGTTGCTTTTTGTTCTTTTTTCTTCTCCACTCTTCCTGAAATGAGAAGTGGCAGATCAGTTGCAGTGCGCGCCGTGAGAAAATGATGCAACTCAGATGAAAGTCTAGTTTAAGGCTATTTCCAAACACAATCACTATTTCCACCATGTCCAACATGCTTCCAGAGATGCTTAGGCACAGTTAAATGGGATGGAAAAATGTTCTCCAATCAATTTGTAGAACTCAAAAATATGAGTATGCATTCAACAGCTGATAGGGTTTTTTTTTTTTTAAATCTGATTAGTAAGAGTTACCCAATAATAAATCTACAACTTGCAAATCCCCATAGAATTAACAGTGTGGGGAGGGGTGGGCATCTGAATAAAATAAGACCATGGCCTCTTAAAACTACTAGGAAAGATAAAGGACAGACAACAGAACATGAAATGAGATGTTCCCTAAAAGGTACAGAATGACTCATGATATGAAAGGATAAAGTTATTATTTTAAGAAATAAAGGAACACCCATAAAGTGATGGAGAAAGCGGTATTTTATTTGGACTTGGATAGATACATGTGAATCGGGAAATTTGAAATAGGAAAAGGATTCATTCTTGGCAAAGGAAATAGCATGGGCTATGTACGACAAGGCTATTTGAGCAGGAAGTGTCATGTTTTGAACTTGCTTTAGGAACTTGCACGTTAGCAGCTTTGCATAGGAGGAGGGCTCTCCTCAAAGTTGGGCAAGAGTTATAGACTGAGTGGGAATGCAGAGGAGGGAAGTGATGCATGCAAGAGATGGCAGGAAGGCAGAACTTACAGGGACTTACAAAATGTTAAGTGCAAGGGAGAAGGAAAGGTTAAGCTGAATGGTTATCTAGGTAACTTTGGGTGTAGTGATGTAATTCAGAGAAACGGTGAAATGTAATGGGAGCGTGGGAATGACAAAGTCAGGTCTAGACTTATTGAGTGTGAAGTGCTCTGAGGACATGGGGCTTGGGTGAGAGATCATAACTGAAATTATAGATGCAGAACACGTCCATCTTGAGGAGATAGCTGGAGCTGAGGTGATGGATGGGAATGTAAAGGCAGAGAGCACAGAGGGACAGGTTGAGGATAGTGGCCAAGAAAATAAATATTCTACTTTTGTCTGTAATTTAGGACCATGAAAAGACAGAAGAAGCAGAGATTCATGATCCACGGAGTGCACAGTTGTGTACCACAAATAAAGATTTAGTCATATTGTCAATATTTTACTTTACAGCTTCTGGGTTTGAATATGTTACTTCAGGGTAAGAAAAATATTATTTCGTATTTTCTCCTAAAACTCCTAGATTTTACATATTGATTTTTTAACTTACCTGAATATTTGTTGTATAATGTGTGAAATAGAGCTCTATACATGTTTTATTTCAAGTAATAGTGATCCATGCACCTTATATGTTGAATAAGCCTTATTTTCCTCATTGATTTGAAATATCAATTTAATCACATATTACATTGTTAGAAAGATATATATGTTTGTTTCTAGAATGCTCATTTTATTTCATTTATCTACTTGGTTATTTCTGTGCAAGTGTCATGATTGCTGAGACTTTGTAATGGGTTTAAATTTTTTAATATTTTATAATGGATCTTAACAATTATAAAGATAAATAAGTAAAATCAATCTGCATTTAAAAAAGAAAGAAAGAAAGAAGGAACTCCTTCCTTTTGCGACAAATTAGACGGAACTGGAGAATATTATGCTAAGTGAAATAAGCCACTTGGTGAAAGACAAATACCATATGATCTGACCAATTAGTGGAATCTATTCAACAAAATAGACTAATGAAGAAAATAAACCACAGGCAAGGAAACATGGAGCAGACTGAAAGTGGCCAGAGGTAATGGGGAAGGAGGATAATGATGGAAAGAAGGAAAAGGAACTAAACAAAGAACATGTATGAATGATCCATAGACATGAACAACAGAGTGGGAATTGACTGTGGGAGAGGGGAGCGGGGTGGAATGGGTAGAAAGCAAAGGGGGAAAAAATTGAGATAACTGTGATAAACATAATTTAAAAGTAAAATAAAAAAATTAAAAAAAAAGATTTAGGAAGTATGGGGGGTATGCTATTGGTACAATAGCATCTGATGCTGCCAAGTTCACACAGATGTTGCTAGATTGTGAGAGAGCAGTTTCAGTAGAGAAGGGGGGAGAACACAAGCGAGGATGTGAGTGCCTGAAGAGTAGTGCACAATGAGGAAGATGAAGCCGAGGAAGTGGCTCCTTGTTCATGAACTTGGAGGGCATGCAAATGAGTGAGATGGGCAGTATCTTGAGTAGGAGCAAATTCAAGGTTTCTGCTAGGCGATGGGACACTCCAGCTTATTTGTAGGCTTAGATGAGAAACTTTATACTGGGGCAATGGTGTGTGTAAAAACCATTGTTGAGGCTGTTTGGTTTTGTGACTGGTAAGCAAGGTCATCACATTCTTGTCAGCCATTAACATTTTACAGGTGAAGCTAGTAACTGAGAGTTTGTGCAACATATGGAAGATGCATGTAAACTTTAAGTTTTTACCAGCCCATAAAAGACATAAAAAAGATTTTATGTCTTTTAAAATCCAAAAACATAATGTAGAAAACATAGTCTTTTCCTTGTGCGGTAGCCAAAAGTGTGGAATTCATTTAACTGGCATCTTGATTAATGGCGCATCCTATTCATTTGGATGATTTCCAGAGGACTTGTTGGATGCAATTTACTTCAATGATTCAAACAGATAAATGGCATGAATAGTCCATTTAAAGGTTTCATTCATTACCAAGTGGAAGGGGGTACCTCCTCATTTAAGGTTTTTTTTTTTTTTTAAATTGGGAAAGCCACCGTTTACTATTTGATTACACATTTTTATACATTAGAGGCCTCAAACATTTTTATGAATTTTAAAAAATGTTATTCAGGTCCTGAGTTATAAAACATTTAAAGAAAAATATCTTTTCAGAGAGTCTTTAACTTGTGTAAGTATGAGTCATAAACCCTGAAAGTACACAATAAACGTATTGGAGATAAATAATACAGTATGTTAGTCAAACTTCAAAGTGACTCTTCCTCCTGGTGTTCATTCCCTCTTCCTTGTATCTATTCATGTTCTTGTGTAACCAATAGGATTTTTTAGAGATGATAACATGTGACTTTGGCGGTGGGGTCTTAAAAAACACTGTGGCTTCCGTTGCTCTCTTGGATCGCTTCCTTGAGGGAAATCTGATTATATGTGGTGAGGACACTCAAGCAGCTTTATGGAGAGGCCCTTGTGGCCAGTGAGAAAGGAAAGCTTCCTGCCAGTGGACATCAACTTGACAGGAACATATGTGGCCCATCCCCCCACCTCAGCCAAACCTTCAGATGGCTGCAGCTTTGGCTGTCACCTTGACCGCAACTGCATGAAAGACCCTGACCCAGAACCATCTAGCCAGCCACTTCAGAGTTCCCCACAGACACTGTGTGAGATGACAAATGCTTAGCAGTCTTCAGTTGCTAAGTTTTGAGTAAATTTTTATAGCAATAGATAATTTATACTTATCGGGTAACTTTATTATGAAAGTTTGGGTTAATTTATGACTTAAATATAATACAACTATGGTGATGCTAGTTGCGTCAAATCAATTGGTCTCCCTGACTTTCTCCTCTGTAATGTGGGGATCAGACCTGCTTATCTGGAATGTTGCGAGGATTAAATAATTCCCTATGTGAAAATGATTCCATGAATAATTCCAAGAACCAGGAAGAAATGAAGGAAACTCACACAAAGTATTGGGGTTTGATGTTTCAGAAGGGAGGCTGGAAGGCATTGTTGATGATGTTCCCTCCCCCCACTGGGATCTCAAACAGTTCTCTGTGTTGTATGAAAGGGTTCTGTAAACTGTAGAGGGCTGCATAAATATTATTTGTTAGTTTTGTTATAGGAATCAAGGTAGATTTCTATCCTTAGTTACAAATACACTACATTTCAAATTAGAAAAATAAAAGCTAGATCAAATACAGAAACTATTAAAATGATCAAGGAACACTGAGTTTCCACCATTTAACTGGAGGTAACCCTGTAGGTTTCTTTTTTAGTATCGTCATCTTGCTCTCAGTGTCCACCTTCATGGAAAGAGAGGATTCAGAGACTTCTGTCTCTAGCTCTAAAATCTATCTTGGTTTTAGGTCTCCTGGAAATCTCCATCTGTATCTTCTACCACACTACATAACATGTCCTTAACTTAAGTCATTATATCCCCTATGGAACTGCTTATCTTGAGAGCTAGCCTCCTACTTTCTCAGGCACCCAGTTATGAAACCTGAGTCATTAGCTCCTCTCTTCCACTCAACCTCCATATCTAATCTGACCCTCAGACCATTATATTCTCTCTGTAGGGCCTTTCAGATGTATCTTCTCCTGTATCACTTCCATAGCCCTAGGCCATGAACTTGATATTTCTTCCTGGAGTTATTTTCTACAGGCTCCTAACTGACTTCACTGGTTTTAGGGATGGTTTTTCCATCCTTGCCTTCTGATCTCTACTACAGATGAAAACCCATATTCTCTAATATAAAATTTATGACCCTGGAAAATTTGGCAACAACTTATCCACTTTGTTACCATGCCACAGGCACCATACAGAACACTTACCAATCACGCTAGGAATCAGACCTCCTACTCCAACTCCCTGCTCATACTGTTTCTACTTCCTGCAATGTTCTGTCATGTGGTTCCTGGCTATGAAAACCTTGTTCATCCTTTAGAGCTGAGCTCAGAAGCTTTTGCGCTGTGTCATCTCCTTTAACTCCCCACTCCTTGCAAGATTAATCACCCTTCTGTGCTTCTAAAGCTTTTTATGTATACCTTTATCATGGCACTAACTCTAGCATTTGATTCATAATGAGATGCAGGTCTGTTTCCACAGCTGGACTGCTGCTTCCTTAAGCGAGAGGTGTGGATCCTATGCTCCTCTGTCTCTTGATGCCTCATGGTGCCTTGAACACACAGATACTTGGGATAGAGGACACAGAGAAAGTTATGTAATACC